AAAAGCAAGAATAAAAAAATTTCATATTTGAAATAAGTCTTAAAAAGCATTGAAATTTTCAGCCAATTTCAACGGTAACAGAATTAGCGCAAGAGCCGTTCATTGCCTGTTTTTCCACTTTCCACATCCTCAGTTCTTTTTAAGTTTTAGTTAATTTCGGTGTCATTATTTCAGGATTATACAGAGGAACATTGCCAACACTGTTGCGTGATGTTCCTTTTTCTGGCATCTATTTGGCTTTCTACCGACGAAATCTCATGTTTTTTGAAAAAGGTAGGAACGAGAATTCGCTTTTCTTTCCCGGTTGGTCTCGTTGAAATGAAACCCAGTTATTTGCTTTTATTCGAGTGCTTATATTTCATTTAGTAATGGCTTGTAGCCAGTACTTCGTTCAGTTTTCTGTAAAACGTGGGCACACTAAAAAGCAAGCCTTCCCGAAATCGCTGCCCATTACCAAAATTGGTCAGTTAACTTCCTGCCTGCTTGGTTTATTTTCTTATCATTTGCTTGAGCGATTCTTTTGCTTCGTAACTGAAGAAGTGCTTGACCGTCCTGGCACTATTTGAAATAGTTGATGAAGGAAACGGAGGGACAAGGACTAGTTTTTGCGGCACTACTGGAACCTTAAGAGGAACAGATTATGTAGAAGTTTTTATTGCAGACCATACGTCGCATGCACCCGTCGAACGCTTCGGCAGCGGCCTGATCGCAGGTCTTTGTGCTTGTGCTATTACGCAGCCGTTCGATATGATAAAAACCCACGTGCAGCTTTTTTCTCAACATTCGTTATACGAATTCATCTCACTTCTGTACCAGGTGAACCTCTGCTACCATAAGATCATTGCTGCAGCAGTGGCAGCATCCTCTGTTTTGCACGATTCCTCTGTAGACAGAAATGGCGCCCATCCAAATTCAAGAAATAACGGTTTTGAATCATTATACGTCATTTTTTCAGAAAATCGACTATGAATTCTAACATAGCACTGGAATGGCCATCTCGTTAGTAGCAGCGGAATGCAACTAGATCTTTGCTCTGATTTCTGCTACTGTTGCTAGAGATAATTCCCTGCCGCATCTTAGTTAGATAATCCTACATGGGAAACCATGGGACTGCTGGTAGTAGTCTGTATTGGTCTCTCTGGCTGATAACTTTTTTGCTTGGCAGCCTACTTTAGTAAACTGAACTACCACAGCAGTCTAATTTTTCAACGTGTTCTGCTGTAGAGTTTTTGGTGCTCACCCAGTATGCTACCGAAATTGCCAAAATCAACGTGATCGTGCGGGTTGTCGGTGCATCCGCCGGTCGCCACCAAATTGAGCAACATGTCATGCACAGTAGATTTTAATTTTTTTTTATTTGTGTGTGTGTATTCATGACAGCGCCGTAGGTAAAAAAGGGCGTTCATTTTTTCGTTCTGTTGCTAGCGAATGCTCTAAACATGACATGATGCGTCATTTTGACGGTCACAACTAACATCTGCTATTTTGCTTACGTCAGTGATCACGTTTCATATCTATCCGTTACTTTTCGAAAGAGGCAGGTGTGCTCAGCTTTGGCTGATAGGCTCTAAATTTCGGCAGTGCTTTGAAATTGCATCACCAAGAGGCTTCTGGCGGATTTGTACTCCTGTAAGCATTAGATAAGGTTCTTTTTGGTTTTCTTCCATAGGCATACTAGCTAATTTGATCATTTTTTTTGCGGAAAAACATGAATGTGATATAAATGAATTTTCAGCAGGGAGGTGTGCTTGCTTTTTTCCGTGGTTTCTGGTTGCGTGCCACACGCCGGGCGCTAATGGCGGCGCTCAGCTGGACATTCTTCGATGAGGTTTGTTCCTACTGTAAATACCAAGTTTTTGTTGTCTGAGAATTTAGTACTGTTAGAAGCATCCCATTCAGGAACCCTCTGCCCTGGACGTTCAGTACCTTAGATATTGAAGAGAAAATTGTTGTTTGATTACAGTATTAATCGAAAGCTTCAATATTTTTATTCGAAAATTACGTCCTTCATAAAAGCTTTGAAAAAAATTGTGTTGCTACTGACGAAAAAATCTGAGATTTCTGGCGCAACCATCTTTCTGTGTTCCTTGCAGCGCATGCAAAAAATGCTTGTTTTTCAGTTGGTTGCTGAACGACGGAAGAACAGACACGTGAAAATTACTGATGACTAGTGCACGCAATCGTTTGGATATCGAATACTGTGTAATTCAAAGTTCGAAATGGTATATTTGACAACCGTTAGCTATGTTGGCACATGCGTCCTTTTATCGGTTGTTCTTACTGACCGGTTCCACATTGGATATAAGGGTGTGTCACTGCCTGAATTTGTTAAAGAACCTTATCTTTAGTGTATTAATACCGAAGTTGTGTTGGATATCAGTGCTTTCGGGGTATGATACGGTTTTTCCTTCATTACCAGGTTTGGGCTGTGGGGGCGAGCAATCGT